CCCCCCCCCCCCCCAATCAAAAAATGCCGCCGCGGTAAGGGCTATAGTTTTACCCCTGGTCACCCCTGATCATCATATGGCTCACCCCTGGTCGTCATATGACGTCATGTTTTTTTTACGATTTCACGGCTTCACGCTCGTCAAGAGAGCCCCCCTCTGGTAAATTTAGTTCTACAGCACTGTGTTTATTGATGAACGCAGTCAAAACAGACAGCTTGCTTGGTAGTTGCTTGAAAACACGGGTTTCAAATTTCACTCACATATGAGATAAGATTACAATAGCTTGCTGTTTTCGCTGTTGATTACACGTTTGCCGAGAAAATGAGCTAGACTGGCGAGGTAGGGAAGATTTTTTCATTTTAGTACAGATACATGTATCAGTCAGTCATGCTTTAAATGTTTTCATAGTTTTTAATCTTTTTCCATTTTCCCAGTTTATGCCGATTTGCCGATACGTACAGACATAAATTTGCCGACTTTTGCCTACACACATACCTCCCCGCTCGCTACGGCCCTGAAGCCAGCAGATACATCACGATATTCAGTACACATGTCGGTCTTTTTCGCTGTAAACTCCTTAACCACAGCTGAAATATTTCAATATACTTTACAAACTCATCTTCAAGGACTATGCGGTGTCAAGTATATTGCGAATGACATTCTTGTGTACGGTAAAACGCGAGACAAACACGATACAAATCACGAGAAATGTCTACAGCGACTTTCTACCAAAGGTTTACGTCTAAACCAATCGGAGTGCACGTTCCTCAGCAACACCCTGTCATTCTTTGGTCAAATATTCTCAGCTAATGGCACCAAACCTAACCCTCAACGCGTCAGCAGCCTGCAAAATGCCCCCACCCTAACGAATGTACATGATGTACGCAGTTTACTGGGCATTCCACTACGCGACTTGACAAAGAAAAATACCGAATTTGAGTGGACGAAAGAGCATCAAAAAGCGTTTGATGATCTGACAGCAGCCCTGTCTTCTGCAAAATTCATGGCATACTTTGACACACAGAAAGCGACATACGTAACAGTCGATGCCAGTCCAATAGGGGTCTCTGCCATTCTTTCCCAAAAATCAACGGAACAAAATGATGAAAAAGTTGTAGCGTACGCAAGCCGAGCCTTGACGGACGTGGAAAAACAATAGTCCCATACCGAAAACGAAGCAGTTGCCATAATTTGGGATGAAGAAAACACTTCCGCTTATACCTGTATGGCAATGACTTCACTCTTAGTACCGATCATAAACCGTTGGAAGTAATCTATGGTAGTCGCAAGTCCAAACCCTCCGCCAGATAATTAGAAAGATGGGTCTTGCGTCTACAACCATATTCATTCAACGTAGTCTACAAATATTCACGATTTCCCGAAGTAGAGATTGTTAAATCAACTTAAGCAACCACAGTCATATCAAAATTAGATAAGATTTTTGCAACACAAGGTATACCAACCACCGTTAAATCCGACAACGGTCCGCCCTTCAACGAAGAAGAGTATAGTCGGTGTTTAAAAGCACTCGGAATGAAACCGGAATTCGCAACTCCGCTATGGCCGCAAGGAAATGCGGAAGTAGAACGATTTATGCAACCACTAGGGAAAACGTTAGCAGCGAAAATTGAAGGTCGTCCCTGGTAACAAGAACTGAGCAGATTCTTATTGCAATACCGCACAACCTCACATTCCACAACTGGAGTACCACCAGAAAAACTGTTATTTAACAGAATCGTGAAAGAAAAATTACCTGTGTTACAAAAGCGGAATATTATCAGCCTTCACAACCAAGCTCGTCAGAACGAAGAATCGAAAAAGGAGTACAACAAGAAAGACGCTAACCACAAGCGACACGTGAAAAAGAGCGACATCAAAGTCGGTGATCGTGTCCTGGTTAATTTAAACAACAAAAACAAAATCACAATACAACGAAGTACCGTATACTGTAACTGTAACACTCACGTGTTACAGCACGCAACAAATACGGACATGCATATTATTACCAGAAACGTCTCTCGCTTTAAACCGTTACAAACGAACAATAAAGTTGATACAGGTGATAGTTTTAGTTTAGTTTAGTTTAATAACTTTGTTGCTTTAGAAGAAAAACCATACACACTTGCATCATCCAAGCACTACTATATATACTGCTAAATACAAGAATGTAGTAATTAGTTAAAAAAACAACTGGTGGCCAAACAGGGCATTGCCCCAATTGAACATGACTACCAATTTAAAAACCTATTAAAGAGTTTATATATACCTAACATTTGCTACTATATATTTATATATACATATTAACAACTAGTGTAACACTCTGCAAACTACTTATGTGGCAGTTCATAAACATTAAGTTCTATATAAAATTTCTTAAGAAGTCTAGACTTAAAAATACTAGAGCTGTCAATTGCTTTGAGATCACTATCTAACGAGTTCCACATTGTCACAGCTCGAGGAAAATACGAGTTTTTAAAGTATTCAGTTCTACATTTAAATTCAGTGAAATTATTCACGTCATGTGACCTAATGTTATATCTAGGAGCAAGTCGACTTTGTACATAATCTGGTAAATGTATATCCAACAGACCTGTTCTACATTTATGAAAGAATAACAAGTCTTTCATACTTCTCCTGTTTTACTTCTGACGGGGACCACAACTCTGATGAAAATTCCAGCTGCGGCCGAACCAATGTAAGGTAGAGGAGCTTCCTGACAGTTTGATCTTCAAAATCTCTGCAGGTTCTTTTGATCAACCCGAGTGTTCGATTTGCTTTTGCCGTAATCTCTGCAATATGCTTCCCCCAACGAACATCGTCACTCACAGTTATTCCAAGATCTTTGGTGGTTTTTACCAATTCGAGAGATTCGTGTCCCAATATGTAATCACTCACGTGCGGCTGGATTTTTTTTCGCGACAACCTCATTACTTTACATTTATTTGTATTAAATTTCATACGCCACGTTTCTGTCTAAGAGTTCATTTCATTTAAATCTAACTGTAAATTTTCAGTATCCTCATCCGATTTTATTGTTCTATATAATTTTGAATCGTCAGCATATAATGCCATTTCTGTTGGTTGCTGAATTTGATCCGGAAGGTCATTAATGTACAATATAAAGAGCAGTGGACCGAGAATAGATCCCTGTGGAACTCCAGAAGTCACATCGAGCCATTCAGAATAATGACCGTCAAGCGCAACTCGTTGGATCCTTCCTGATAAGTAACTTTTAAACCAGTTGAAAATAGAACCATAGAAACCGTGTTTGCTTAATTTACGGAGCAATAAATGGCGAGATACCTTGTCAAACGCTTTTTGGAAATCAAGATAAATTACATCAACAGAGTGTTTATTGTCCAGTGCTTTAAGAATCTTGTGA